ATTGGTCCTGGATTTTAAACAAAAAATTCAAATTTTTTTTGTAGAAATAAATGATTCTTGAATGTAAGAAAAGGTGAATGGCATTATATTTTTTCTTTATTCAGCATTCCCTGGTTTTGAGTGTTTGCTTAAATTACTATGATCATTCTCTAAAGGAATTCTGTTCTCTTAAGCACAATCATACTCAAACATTTGTGATGTACTCCTTTTTCCTATGTTTAGTCCTTCTCTTCTAAATCAGCCTTCCACACTGATGGTGTAGTTCCAATAACTGGAGTCAGGGACCCAGAAAAAAAGTACTTGAGCCTCAAATACATAGGTACAGCCTCTGCCATACAGCAGCCGATTTCCCAACATATCCCCAGTGCACCACATAGCTGATGGTACCTCATGTCTTCTTAGTTAGTCATGAATATAAGATGATTAGGAACATTGGATCTATTTTATTCATTTTACACCTTTGCATCTGCTAACATGCTCTACTAAGAGAGCACTCTCTACCACACTCTACTATTTTCATAATCTGCCCTGTAGGTCAAAACTAACTCAATTATCTATTCTGAAACTGTCATATAGATCCTGACTATTTCTCCTAAATTATTTAACTTTATTTTTAGTTTTAGACTTAGCATTAGATACTCCCTGCAAGTTCTCTGCCTCTTTTCCTCCCTTTCTCTACACCCTCGCCCTTGAAATCACAACAGCAGCTTTCAACCTGGCATTGGCATTGTAAGATTCCATTCTGTCTGTCTGATTCTTCTTTTTAAAATCTCAACTGAGGTACTGTCATCATGCAGTATAAAGGTCTAGTCACATGTGGTGTGTCCCAAATACACTGGGCTTTTCAACAGCTGAAACATTATTTCGTTTCTATCTTCTTCTCACTGTCTGGAAGCTTATAGATTTTTTTTCTGAGTAAAGAAACAGAATAGATCAATCCACAGTGTAGTTTAAGGTACCGTGACATAGAGATGGTCTGAAGTAAATAACTGGCTGGTGGTTATTTCTCTCAACATTCTACCCAAATGGTGTTTGGTCTGACTGGAGACAAATAGTCAGATTTAAGGGAAATCACCAGGTTCTCTGTATTGTTAAGCAGCTCTGTTATTATGTGTCTTCCTGGCATGAATGTCAGTTCATGGCTATACAAAAATCACACTCCCTTCTTGGAAACAGGAAATCTAGATCATGCCCCTATGTCCAGCCTCCTGCCAAGTATCATTGTGACTGTCCATTTGCTTTATGTGACTGTAACTGAATAGAGCCTTACTCACCTCAGTGCATCTTGAGAATCTCATTGTCATTTAGAATCTCCTTGTGAGCCTCTATAGACATCCTCTTTGTCTGAGTTTTGCATCCATATTATTTTTTAAAACTCCTAGTTTGTTGCTTTATTTCTTGAATGTAGCTCATTTTCACTGTGGGACACTATTAAATTCATCTGTCAATGGTGTTCATGAAAAATGAGGCAATCACCTAACAGGCACCATATCATCACACCAATCAGGACTGATATCTGAAGGTTAGGACAGTCTCATGATCCCAAGATAGACCACAGCCAGGCCTGTCAGGAAGGGAGACAAAGCACTTATCTACACCAGAGCAAGGGCAGTGATGTGATTCCAGAGAGAATCTCCTGCATAATCCCGAAACTGGAAGCTTTGCACTTTCATAATTCAATTCCAAATATAACATCTATATTTGCACTGAAGTCCCAAGGGGAGAAAACTGCATTACAATGAATTTGTGCTTCATAAGCTGAAGCAAAATAAACATGATGCTGTAATTATCCTTGTTTTCACAGAGCTGGTACACTAATCTGTCCCTGGCAGGCAGACTCAGCAGTTTGCATTTGTTTTGTGATGATACATGGCCTTGGAATGTGATTGTCTGTTTCAGCATTTTGGCAGTATCTGGATGGACACCACATTGGAACAGTTTGTGAATGTCAACTTGATTAGAAATTAGTACTGCGATCATTTTGTGATCTGGCTTTGCCTTGCATTTTAACTATATGAATAACTTAAGATGGCAACCTGTAACAGTGGTATCTTTTCATGGCAGATTCTGGATTTCCTTCCTCATTCTAGATTAAATTTATAATTGATTGAGGTAGTAAGATATAAAGAAATAGTATTGAAAAATTACACTTTCCACTCTCTATCACTGTTGACTTTGAATCTTTACACTCCAGTATTGGTATGTCAATATTTGGAGCTAGAAGATATTACTCTCTGGAACATTCATTTATTCATTCATGCAGCAAATCTTTGAGTATATCTCAGTCAGTTCTCTTTACAGTGACAAAATACTTTAGAGAATCAACTTCAGAGAGAAAAAGAATTATTTTGACTCAAAGAAGGAAGGACAGAAAGAGGGAGAATTGAATGAGGGACCAAACATTCCCTTGAAAGGCATGTTCTCTGTAATCTAACTTCTTCATACTAGATCCTGCCTCTTGAGGTCTCACAACCTTTTAGTAACCCCACAGACTATTAATTAAACCTTTAGCATATGAAACTTTTGAAGATATTTAAATCCAAACCAAAGGAAATATCTGCCCTATGTAAATCACTCCACTCCAAGTGTTTATCACTTGGATAAGCAGGTGACTCCACCAAAAAAAAAAAAAAAATCACTAACACTAGTACATTAAACAAATAAAATCCATACACGAAAAATCTAATTTTAGAATGTAAGTGTACCTAGATTGAAACTTCATATAGTAATGGCAAAAAAGGATTCTCCTACTTTGTACTTTTGGTCTTTTAGTCCCCTAGTTTGGGGAGAATGCTACTCATACTCATCTTCTGGTTCTTCTTCCTAAACAGGATTTAAGGATGTTGGGAAAAGCATTCATTGAGGTATGTGAATGACAATTTGGAGGCAAAGTTCTCACCATTTTGCAGTCCAAAGAAAGATTACCTCTTTTCAATGATGCTTCTTTTCTCAATGCTTTGTAGTTAATTTATAGAAGTTTCATAAACTTGTAAAATTCCTCTCTTTCTTGGAACTTGATTATTAGCTGTATATAGGGTAAAAAGTCTGTGTACATGTATATTAATCTCTGTATCTCCCTATCTCTATATCTTTCTATCTCCATATATTCTTATTCACAGAATAGGAATCTTACCCGAAATACAGCATGTTGAGAATGAATGGCAATGGAGAAAATGGTGCTTTCAGAAGGTGCTACATGTCCCTAACCTATAATCTTCTCTGACATCTGGCACATCATTATGCCAATTTTGTGAAAATGTGAAAGATAGAATGGGCTTTGCCTGCCTATTAAGTTTTCTGAGGTTCTGTCTATTCTCTGATGCTTTTCTTAGCATGGCTTTACCATTTATTAAGCACTATTATCATGAAAGGAGAACTTGTGTCCTAATAAGGCAGTTCCAACACTGTATTCCAGTGACTGTATAGAAAGCCTGTGTCTCAATTAAACAGTGACCACATGTGGAAATAGTTCAGTGGTTTCCTTTGAATGTGAGATGAACAATTACATTCCTCTAAAGGATACTAGACACCAGGGTGCTAGCATATTATGCAACTTTTCTCCTGCGGTACTGACAGTGCTTGAGCAGTGAAATCATATCTACACCTGTGGGCTAGAATGTAGCTCTGCCACCCCAAACCACCATCTCATGTGCACTGTAAATGTCACCAGCTATTTGTTGTCATTGAGCACTGTACTGTAGCATGCATCTTAATTACCTGTGCATTATGTGAAGTTATAGTGCATTCCCACTCCCAGACTTTCTTTCAGTAAATGGTGGAACCCGATTCTTAATGGCTGCTCCTGGGCCACATCAGAACCGCTGCCTTAGCAAATGCTTTTGCTTCATGTGACTGTTCTTTCAGTCAGGAAAAATGCATCTTTAGTCATCATGGAAATATAGGGGCATTAAAGTTTATTATTTTGTCTTAGTATAGTTTCTCACTTTCTGAATATATTGTAGAATGGTCCCAAAGGAAGAGTTCATAACCAGTTTCCTGTGAAACAAAGCTAGACAAATAACAGTCTACCCGATGCAATGGAATTCAAATTGATTTGTGTGCATGCTTAGCTTGTGAGTAGCATTATTTATAAAACTTGAAATGGAGACATTACTTCTATTCAGTTCAATGCTAAGTGATTCATTTTTGCATCCAAAATTCATAGAGCTAACAGATGAGCACTGAGTTGAATTCATATAGTGTTTGCCATACTGAAGTACTAGCAGCATATGTTACAGTCCATGTGCTGTTTCCGTCACCCACATATACATGCAATTTATGCCACATATTTGTATACAGATACATAAACACAAAGGGGAAGCTTTACTATTATATATTCATACATGTTCTATATATGGTATATGAATTTTTAAGTTCCTTTGAATATGAATACACATTTCAAGGAAATTTTCATAGCCACTTTTAAACAGCATTACTCTAGTTGGGAGCATAAACAAGGAATGCTCACAACGTTAAAATTCATTTAAAAATAAGTATATTTGATAACACCTTTAGAACACAAAGTTGGCAAATACCATGATGACAGGCTTCCAGCTAAAGAAAAGGATGACAAATTGCTTTCTTATTAGACCTGAGAAACAAAATTTTTTAAAAGCATAAATATATAGGACAATTATGAAACACCTATTATAAGAATGTTAGGTCATAATTTGATACTAGTCTATAATGCCATATATCATATCATTCAAGGAATGGTGGAACATAAAGAAGGTGATTTCTCTCCTCTGGAGAAACTGGATAAACAGTAGTAGAGCAACAGTGTGTTCACTGGGCATCCCAGGTATTAAATCCCTGGACACATCTAGGAAGGCCCAGGGAAACATGACATACAGCAACACATTCCTGGACCACTAAAGAAATCTGGAAGAACATAAAATATGCTCTTGAAATGTGTGACCTTCTTTTGTCTCTTGAGTTAAATTCTTGTGTGAAAAGAAACTGCTTTGATTGTTTCTATTCAAATTGCTCATATTTTCTAGATTAAACTGGGATACTGCCAGTAAACCACAGTTCATGTCCTCCAATCATAAATACATGTTAAATACTGTTCAAACAATCTCCAGCTTACTGCCAGCTATAGATAAGACAATCCTGATAGAAGAATTATGATCCTGGACTCTATTCAGTATCAACAGAGAGCCTCTGTCTGCCCATCAGGAGACAGGATACAAAGTCATCCAAATTTATCAAGTTGTAACAAGGTAAGCATGCTAAAAAGTGTGCTTGGGAACAAAGTGTAGCTTAAAACAAAGCATCTGGCCTACACTCACTGCAGCTGAGACCCTTTTAAAGATTCCATGGTGATAACTGATTTTCATTAGGAAAGAACTCTGGCTTCCAAGGAACATTCTCCTTTTCTTATTTGGCATTACCCCCAATGTCTTCTCCCTAATTTTATCTGGTATCTAGCGATGCCTTACTTTTTCTCTGTCTTCTGTTTTAATAGTCTCATCCAACAATTCTCAATCAGTAATTCCTTTGAGCATTCATGCGCAGTGACACAGACAGTTATTCTTTAGGACTCTCAGAAAAGAAACACTATTTGAAATTATGCAAAACTTCAGTTTGCACAAAGCAGATCAGGTGACTTTTAAAGTTGACTATGATCAGGTGATTTTTGAAAGATGCTCCAGGATGGACTTGCATAACATTATGCAGGATCATTTTCACTTTTGACACAATCGTAAAGAAGCCAAATCCATTGTCAGTGCAGTCACCCATGCTGCCTGCCCCAAGGTGATGGTAACTGTGATTACAGCAGGGCTCCCCAGATCCCAGAGATCATTCCAAGAGAGACTTCCAGACAGAAAACAGGTGCCTGAGCCCAGGGCAGGGGGAGCAAAACAGAGCCTCGAGGAGCTTCAGAAAATTACAGTTCTGATTGAATCTTTGCACATGTCCTTAGAGAAAGTTTTGTAGTTTTTTCTTTTGATTTCTACAGAGCAAATCTTAAACATAGCTCCAAGTTTCTACTGCCATAAAATTCATAGACATTAATTAATTGGAGCCAGGAAAGTATTTCTTTTTAGATTTAAGATTTTATAAGCTTTTCTTATAAAGATTTTTATATAAAGATTTTCTTATAAAGATTTTATAAGATTTTCCATATAAGATTTTCTACCAGTGGCAAATTTCAGAGTTTCTATATCCCTAAAATAATTTTTGCCCCTATGATTCCCATTGAAATTCTGTGTTTATCACTATGTAATCACTATTCATAATTTAACCCCACAACAGAATATTACTAGCTTATCAATTCTATGGTTACATATTTTATTAGTTTTCTACCTAATTGGCTCTAATTAGCTCCCAACTCTTAAATATAGTGTAAATATTTCACTAGGTTTAAACAACATTGTTAGTTATTTTACTTATTTTATATTCTTGGAAACGTGTCTCAGAACCCTGCTCTTTGAACATTCTCCAGGCCCTACCCTTTAGTCGGCAGCTGAAGACCTCCCTCAATCTTAGTGAGTATATTTTTTCCTATTACTTTTTGTCTTTCTCTTAAAAGCAATATCGCATTGCCTAGGCATTGTAACTATTACATCTAAATGTGAAATGTATGGTTACATTTTCAGTTTAGTCTTTTCTCACCATCGACTCTGAGAAGTATGATCAAAGAAATAATTTCACTTTTATGTGTTTAAAATTGTTTTATTCTATCTCAATATTCAATTAAAAATTTGAAGAGACATAAAATTCTGGGCTCAGCACTGCTTACTGTCTGAATTTTGAAGACATTACTTCATCGTTATCTAGCTTCTAGTTTTGAATTAAAATATCTAATGCCATTCTGATTTCAAATCTTTTGTATAAAATTTTCCATTCAAAAATATTATTTGAATCTTTTTGGTAACCAAAAATGTATGAGTACAAATTTTGTTCAGAAATGACATACTGATATAGTTTTTGCTGATTTTTACTCATTTCTTGGATGTTTGATTGGGGATAAAATCTGTTATCTAGAAACTTCGAGATTTGATAAATTTTCCTATTTTATTCTTACTATTATTTATTCACTTATTTTTTATTTTTCCACTCATCTTTTCCTTCTACTGATCACATCCTTGCTTTTTAATTCTATTTTCTGAGTTGTTTTACCGTATTTATTTTATTTATTGAATTTTCCAGTGTGTTATATTTTTAACTTCAATTTATTTTTCTCTATTTCTGTTTTTTCATAATGGTATTCTATTCTTATTTCATAAATGTGTTCTTCTCTTCTTCTTTTAAATTGTATTTTTCCTGCACAATCTTCTCCATTATTTTTATCCCCCCAACCCTCACCTGGGATGGAACTAGCGACGTCTCGCTTGCCAGGCTGACACTTATGCCGCTGAGCTCTGCTCCTTCTCCATTACTTTAAAAATATTTCAAAATTTATTATGCTTAAGGCATGTTGTGATCCCTAGATTGTATGCTGACATTCATGAATGAGTTAATTCAAAACTCTTTGCACACGAATTGGGCTCGTTCTGTGGGTGTTATTGTGTATGTCTGATTGGGTTATTTCACTAAAAAAAAAAAATGCAGATGACATTACCGGTAAGTCTTTTCTTTTGATCTGCTCTGATTTCTTGAAAAAGTGTTTCTGTCTAGTTCTGAGTGTAAGGCACTACTGTGTTTTAGAACTCAGTTGGGAAAGGAGTTGAGGAGGTGGCAGTTTGCGATATCAAACTTGTAGATTTTTGAGGTAACTCACTTTTATTACAGAAGTTTTGACCATAATGAGGCTTTGTATTACTTAAGAATCTAAATTTTCTCTGTTCTGTCTTCTGAAAGAATTGAGAAGAAATTATAATCATGGGGTGAAGGAGAGGATCTATGGTGTAATTGTTTTGATTTTTAAACAACATTAACTTGTTGTTTAATTTATACAACATTTAAAGCACACAAAATGTAGAAAATGATATATTGTGTATCTATATACTCACAACCAAAGATAATAACAATGCTCAGTGCAGCTAATGTGCTTAATATTTTTCATTATCATCCTGTCTCTGGTTTTTTAATTCATTTTCATTATATGTCTATACCTAAACAATATATAAAGCATTTCGTATATTGTTAAACATACAAGCTTTCTTTCAACTTTAATTCTCTGTGAGATAACCTGCATTTGAAGGGGTGAGTTTTTCAGCAGACACACACCTCAGAGGATGATTGCCAACCTTCCTGTTGCCCAAAATAATGATGCCACTACCTTCAAGAATTCAGTTCCAACTTTGTGTCATGTTTTGGACCAGTTTGTCACCTGCTGGCCTTTAGTAGCATTTCAGACTAGTAAGTTTCTCCTTTTTCCACCTTGTTCAAAGATGCCCCATTTACTATCCATAGAAAATTTAGAAATCATTAGTTTACCTTCTATGTTCATTCCATAGTCTTACATGTAAGTAACCATGTAAACCAAGTGCTAGTGGATCTTGTCTTCATTACTTCTTTAGTGACTCAGAGGTGGCACCATGATGATGCACCATAGCTTTGATGTGATGCTTTTAAGATACATTGTGAATCACTTTGCAGAACATCATTTGGGTTAATTGAATAAAGGAAATCATTAAAACATACTACTCATTAATGCCTTTAAATTGCCTATAATATTGGTCTTCAATATAACTGTTAGTGACTGTTACCATGTTAGAAATTAGCGCAAACACTAATTTCTTACCGGTTTATGGGTTCATTATTTATTGACCACTTTAGTATAAATCTTTATCAATGTGTAACATTTTGACATGTAAGAAACTGGAGACTTAAGATTGGTATTGAATTTAATTCATTTCAAGTTTTGGATTGTATCTACTTTAATAATACACAACTCTTTTGGCTGAATCGTCTAGGATTTGATTTTTGTTTTCCTTTTGATTTTTTTATCATCAGTGTAATAGTAAAACTCATAGAAAGTATATAAGCTTGTAATAAGGGCAAAAAATAAAAATCATCCAGAGAAAGAGTTTCAGTTACCAATATCTGCATACTTTCTTTAGCTTATTTTATAATCTTTCATTTGTGTTATCAATAAAATTGAGCATAAATTGAAAGGATTGTAGTTTTGTGATTACAATAACAATATGTAATCAGTAGTTAAAATTTGAAAAATATACAAATACATAGGAAGTGTTAACCTAATCTTACTTTTAGATTAATTAGAAAATCTTTTCTAATTTTCTACTTTTAATTAGAAAATCTTATTTTTCTAATACAACTTTAAAATCTTAAATATACATGTCGTAGGTCTCTTATTTTCAATCACAAAGTAATTAATCCACATTTAAAATGCAAGCATAGCACAGAATTGTATTGCTTAGTATGGAGATTCCCTTACCAGGAGTCTCCCTTATCAGCAGATTCCCTATTATTCCATAAATCTGTTCAAATTGTAAATTCTTTAATGTTTCTGCCACATTTTCCCTGATCTTTCTCTAAAAAATACATATTTCGTAAAAGCCAACAGCCTAGTATATATAAAACACACTAATGTAACTGGTTGTACACAATAGCTTTTTTTTTTTTTTAATTTAAGAGGAAAAAGAGAAAAACACAAAACAAACCAAAGCGGCGTAAGGGTACATGCAATACAGAACTACAAAACAAAACAAAACAAAACAAAACAAAAAAACATAACAGTAAGAAATTACCTGCTAGTAGATTACACACTATCTTCTTGAAAATAGTTCCTCAAATCACAGTATCAAAGAACACAAGGTGGACATTCAAACAGGGAGACTGCAAACAGCTGTGTTCAATGTTCCAAAAACATTGATAAAGTCAGCTATTTAACACCCCCAAACACACTTGCTGTTATATCCGTTAGAGCTCTTTTTCTTTTTTTTTCCCTCTCTTTTTTACAACAAAATTTACACATCTTGGATTTTATTACTCCTTAGTGCTTATTACTTTCTTTGGGGGGGGGGAGAATACAGTCAAATATGGCAAAACAAAGCTGTCAGTCAATACCAAGGATAGACATAGCACATGGTGTAGAACAGAGTACAAGTTTATCAACAATGGTTATCAACATTGTCCCTTGTTTCCTTAAAAAGAATTGTCTATCTTGTTAGATATTATAAAGTTGGACAAAACAGTAGAGAACAAGACCAATAAAACTTAGGCATTGTAAACATTACAGGACTTCCAAAGAAGACAATAGTCAAACCAGAATGGGTATCTTAGTGAATCTTATTGTCTTCTGGGAAGT